AAAGTTTGTGTGTGTGTGTGTGTGTGTGTGTGTGTGTGTGTGTGTATGTATAGGGTGACCTGTAATAATCGCATTACTTCTTGTGGACAGATGGAGGTTAAACATTAAAACTGAATAGAAAAGACCTATGTCATTTTGCGAACTTTGAAATAATTAATGAGATATTAATTCATAAAGATCCGAATGAGCGTGCACTACATTCCAAATTCTTCTTCTTTTAACCTCAATACCCCCAATAGCCTAAAAACAGTTTTTATTTTATAATTGCTTGGATACAGAAATATGACAAATACAATTACAAGTATTCTTTTACTTTCATTAATTTTTTATTTCTCGCATTATCAAAAAATTTATATCTCACTTTAAAATTAAAAATTCCTTCTTGCAATCGATATTGATATATTTCGCTAAAATTATCTCTCATAAAAGACGTTAAAAACTCTATTCTGATAGAGATTTAGTGATAGAGATTTACGTGTATGTTCACACGTGCTAATAATTGCTAGGTTTGCTGCAAAATGCTTTGAAGATGTTATCAACAAATAATAGAGTATTCGTTTATAATACACCTCTAAATATCTTGCCACACACGTAATATTGGGCTGTTTCTGCCGCATGCTTATTCGTGATTCTTTATAAATTAATAATTCAACAATTATTGCAAAAATCGTTGAAACTTTTCAAGTATACTCTGTTCACGAAAGGTGACACGGTTATTGTGGAACATTCTGTATAAAATACAAATTGTTTCTTTATTCTTAAAAAATAATATCTCTTGTAATGAGCTGATCTGTTCAATGCAAAAAAATGTTTTTTTATCTTTCATGATAGTTTGTGCCATCCTATATAAAGGAATAAGTATCATATTGGATATGACGTGGACCGGTTGGGACAAACTACGAAATGTCGCAGATGAAAGAGGAATAATATATAAACGTGGTGATTGCAGTATAAGTCCATATGTTCAAGCGATTGATGATCTTTTAATTATGAAAAATGCAACGGACGTCGGTTTAATTTTTGAAGATGAAAGAGGTGCGCAAAAATTAATAGTGATTCGTTCATTATTCGCGCTGATATTACATGTGAATATTCCGCTTTACATTACATCCATTGCACATAGTATTATTTTTTACAAATTATGTAGCTCGACAAAAAAGAATAAAAAAAAAGATTTATTTCTTGTAATTTTCTTATAACTTTAGTATTAGAAATATCTTATCATGTCATAATTTTTAAAAAGATTTTGGCTCATATTTTGGATTATATAATTTTATATAATTTTGTTGGATTAGATAGAAATTTAATACTGAAAATTTAATATTGGAAAATAAATTATTTATTTTAAATATTAAAAACGACAGTGTTGTTCAATGCCTTTAATATTCAAAATAAATAATTTCCAATACGATATTGGCAGTTTAGAATTTACATAAAATTATGGGTCAAGTTCTTTAAAATTGAACTTAATATTTAGAGCTAATAAAATTTATCATATTGTAATTATAATAAAAGATATGTTTAAAAAAAGTTGAGAATATGAAAGAAGAGAAATTAAAAATTTTTCAATTTAAAAAATTCATACTGTATTATAAAAATTTCACAAATTATTGAATACAATTTTCATAGTAAAATTGACAAATATATATCTAACATTAGATTGAATTTATATTTATTATATTTATTATATATTTATATTTATTATATTATATTTATTATATTTATATTTATTATTATTTATATTTATTAACTTTTTACTAGATGAATTTTTAATAATTTAATTTAATAACAACTTTTTGTAGCATGTATATAGTAAATTTAGTATTTAATTTTGAAAATCATAAAACTTTGATCTGTATAACAAATTTTTTTATACATTACAAATTCTAATAATGTACTAAAGTTTAATAAAATAAAATAAAATAAAATTTTTGAAAATATAATATAATGTTATTATAACAAATTACATCAAAATATAACTTTTTTATAATTTTAATATTGAATTTCTTAAAATTATTTTTTTATTAATGATATAATTCTAATAATTCGGAAATATGTTTAGTTTAAATGATTTTCAATAATAATAATAATTTTTTTTGGATTGAAATTGAAAGAAAGTGGAATTGTTGTTAAAATGAAAAATAAATATATCACAGTTTACATGATAGTTTTGTAATATTAACTACATCAGATACAATAATAATTTTAGAGCTAAATCAGAGTCTTTATTATCTTATTGGAAATTCGATAATTAGATTGGTAGTCATCGACGAATTGACAGAAAGAACTGTAGCAAAAATACGGAGTATGCGACCGTCACCATCTTATTATGTTATTTACGCTAGTACACAAAAAATGGAAGAATTATTTAAAACGGTAAGCGATATATTTGCATCGATTTTAACTTGTAAATTATATGTGTTAAACATTTTAATGTATGATAATCGAAGATTTATGTTTTAAGTCTATGTAGATTATTCAGAGAGTGACAAAACACGATTATGAATACACGATTTTAATCTGGAATATCTTCTTATACTGCATGTGAAAATTTTGAATTGATTTTCCTTTAGAAATAGATTATATTTTTCTAGCATAAATTCGCATAAAATAGTTTCGTGCCTGTGCAGAATATTGTTGAAATAAATTTTCATCAGAATAAAAGTATTTAGCGTCTTTCTATAAAAGTAATTTTTACGAAGTAATTTTAACGATGTGTCATTTTTGATTGTAAAAAAGAATTTTTAATTTTAAAATGAAATATAAATTTTTTTGTTGCGAAATTTTGTTGAGAAATAAAAAATTATTAAAAATAAAAGAATGCTTATAATTGTGTTTTGTCACGTTCTCTATTCCAGCAAGTATAAAGTATAAAGTAGAAATTATTTTTTAGGCTATTGGGGGAGGTCTCGTTAAAAGAGAGGGTATTTGGAATTTAGTATTTACAGACAATAATTATCACGAATTTCGATATATTACCGGTGACCTTCAATTAAATGTTTCATTCACTATCCTTAATATGAAGTCTGACATTTGTTGTCGTTTAATGGGCGAAACCTCTTGCAACTGCCTTGCAAATTTTAAGGTCAGTTAAAACAAAAATTTTTATGAAGCTTGCAAATCTTGCAAAATACTGTTTTACAAAAGAATTTACTATTTATCAAATATATGAAAACTGTCGACTAATATTGTCGCTACATATTAAAAGATAATTCTTTTATTATTTTACTAATTAGAGAAAAAAATTAAGAAAAATATTTATTTTTAATAAAAATGCACTTTTACCGTCTACAAAAAGGGATTTAAAAAATCCTGTTATATTAGATATTTCCACATTATTTCAAACGTTTGATCGGCTTGATCGTAAGCTTGATGAGCGATGTTCAAAGGACAGGTGTAAGTGTAACTCCAAAGACAGGTCAATGTGGCAAGTCTGTTAGTCCTACTTCAGTTTCGAACATTACAGTAGAAACATTCAACAAAATTTTGATGACAGTAAGTTTTGTCAAAAGAAATTCTATCAAGAGAATAAAATCCGTAGAAATTATATTACGTTCATATTAAGCTTTTTTGCTTAGGACGAAACATAAAATAAATTAAATGTGTACCTAAATAAGTTTACTTCTCTATATTCTAGAGATTGGACAGTAACGACACTTTCGAATATTGGTCAGAAAAGGCAATGATTACCTACAAAGCAGAGATTGAATTACAAATAGTTAATCATGGTTTTGTAGACGCGCTGGCAACTTGGACAAGACGTACAAAAATTAAAGAAGCAGAGGGAAAGAAAATAGAACCAGCCAGGCGATTCTTCCGGATTGGAACGGCACCGGTAAGAATCACCCAGCTAGAAAATTGTGTTTATTCTGAATTTATATTATTGATGCTTAAAAACGTGATAGCAGAAATAGACATAAATGCAGATATGTTAGGATATTTAAAAATTTGTAAAATAGTAATACACGTATAAATTATGTTCGTACAAGTTTTCTTCATGGTTTTGAACATCTTTCATTGAACCTGTTGAATATTTTTACGTCGTACAGAAAGAAATGAAGATAAATGTTTTACCAAAAATATAAGATAAAAGATAATTGACATCATTTTAATTAATTTGAAATAGGCAGTTCCGTGGTCTGTAATAAAAAAGAATCCAGTTACGGGTCAAGAAATGCGTAACGAAGACGGAAAGGAAATCTGGGAAGGTTACTGTATAGACTTCGTAAAAAAGTTATCCGAGGAAATGCAGTTCGATTATGATCTTATTATCCCCGAAGATCAAGAATTTGGCAAAAAATTACCTAATGGTGAATGGAGCGGTCTGATAGGTGATCTAGCTAAAGGAGTATGTTTAACTTTTAAAAATAGTCTATTGTAATTAAAAATATGCACTGATGTTTTTCTTTAATTTCAATTGTTTACTGTTATCTGCAATTAATTGATTAAAGATTGCATAGAATGTTTTGTCTAGATAAAATGTCAATTGTTAAATGTTTATTCTTTTACTCTTTCTTCAACGCTTTTTTCTTTTTGTAAACTATTTTATTATATTATGCTTCTTATGAAAATAAATAAATAAATATATATATATATATATGTATATATTTATTTATTAATAATTTATTATTTTTAAAATCTTTAGATTTTTACGTGATTTTATAATAAGAATGATACATAAATAAATAAAATATTAATAAATAAAATTCAAAGATTTTAAAAATTCAAACAATATCCTAATATCCTAAT